CCAAATGACAAAATAACAAGCGATCAACGAGCCGAATAATAACGCTATGTCAGAAGTGGAAAACAATAATGATATAATATTCACCGTTCTTTTTCATGACAAGCAGCTCGTGCGACCCAACTCATTCCGGGCGGTAGAAGGAAACGAGCAAATTGTTGGCAAACTGCTTCACGAAGTAAAGCCGAAGATGATACACGTGTGTTAATGGGAATTTTTTTGTTATGTCTTTTCCCGATTCATATCAAGCTATGTCCTCATCCTTGTATATTGCAACAAAGCAGGCAAGCAATATATCATTATCCTTCTACCACTCGGATCGAGCTTTGTTACAGAGCGAGTTTGTCATGGTAGTCGTAGCAACCGTTTTGTCTGTATCGTTGGTTGCTTTATGTGTTTGGATTCGCTGTCGATATTACATTTTTTTGCTGTGTATATCGGCTTTTCTGGACACGGTTAGAAAAAAGTTTCGAGGGTTTTCTGGTATCACACAGGTCAAGTGCCTGAGGTGAAACGGAGGAGATGACGCAAGACAGTTGTTTTACTAGTGAGATCTGCAATTGGGTTGTTTAGGACTATTGAGGTAAATACATCAAGAGTAAATTTTCATAACGTCCAAAGTAACAAAGGTAAACAATGTCGTGCTATCAGTGTCAATCGTTGCTCCGTCTATTGCACTATATAATGTCCGAATAAAGCATCTTATCCCATTTTTAAATTTATTTACCAGTCAAATTGTTTTTTGACGTAATCACCTTCCGATGAAAATATTTTTCGATGTTACTTAAGTCGAGGGGCAATTCACTGCTCTCGAGAATGAATCGAAAATAAGTTTATGAAAAAAATACACAAAAATTCATCATTACTCGTCATTACTCAAAAAAATGCAAAAAAATACAAAATTCGGAAAAAAATACAAAAATATTCGACGAATAATAAAAATACACGATAATTCGTCATTTGGACGAAAAAATCGAAAATATTTACAATCAAAATGCTCAATTCGAAAAAAATGCGTAAATTTATTATTTTGTATTTTAATCCGAGCTCGAATCACAAAACAATGCATTAATGAGTAGAATTTCGCCCATTTTTAAGAAAAGTGCCTTAAATCATTTATTAAATAAAAAAAACATTTTGAGTAGTTGTGAGCCACAAATAAGTAACGATTATTCATTAATGCGTAACAGATGCTTATTAATGCGTAATGAGCGAGGTAAGGGGCTGTTCATAAACTACGTAGACAATTATCCGCGGCCTATACAAATTTAAAAAATTTGTCTGGACAATTAATTATGTGATTTGAGTAGTAGCTTTACTGAAGATCCGAGAGATGTCGCCCCTTCAGTGGTAGGAAAATCATTTTTGCAGTATGGAGAATATCAGAAAATCCACGATTTGTGACTAAACGTGCTTTCACAGAAGGAAACATATAAACGAGTGTTTACCTTATCACCATAGTAATGTACTCGTGCAATTTTTGTGCATCTTAAACTGCCCATAAAGACGATAATGAATAAAAACTGAAAATTTTCATGCATTTCCAAATGGTTTCCTACCATTCCCATACATTCGAGAGTGACTGGCCCTCTGGAAGTGGATGATGTCAAAAACAACAAAACATGATTAATTGTCTACGCAGGGTTATAAGAAGAGAGGGCGAGTAAACCAAAAAAAACTGTCTACGTAGTTAATGAACAGTCCCTAATGAGTTAATGAGATAAGCCTCTTTTCTTTAAAATGGGTGAAATTCTACTCATCAGTGGGTATTTTAAAGTTAGCGTGTGTTGTGCATTTGTCAAACAAAACGTCAACATTGTGAGTTTGATCCGTTTGATCCTCGGTTCGAGTGGTAAACATAAACACTGAAATGACAGAATACACTTATAACTGATTTCCAGTACATTAATGCATAAAAATACACTTTTATTTTTCTAATACACAAAAAAATACATATATTTAAAAAATACAAAAAAAATACATTATTACACAAAATACACGTTTATTCGATAAAAAAAATACTTCAATACGTTCATCAATACGTTGGCCTGAATCGAAAATACACAAGTGAATCGCCCCTCGACTTAAGTCATCCGATTTCTATGGAGATGCCGTTTGTCTTAAGTAACAGTGCAGAGGAACCGGTGAAAAGTGTACGTTCGTCGTTTCCCAGGCCCAGGCCAGTGACAAGGCCTATACCAATAGCACCGTTTGACAGTAGGCAGCATGTCCCGGGCTCAAATCATTTATTTTGCTGTGCTGGGCCCGCTGTCACTGTATAACATGTTGCCTACGCGCCTGCCACTGGGCTGCACTGGCCTGATTTGAGTACAATTAACGAAACGTACACTCAAAAATATAAGTAAATAACGAAAGATTAAAATTTAATCATTTTATCCTTAAGTAATATTTATACATTGATAAGATTAATATTCAACTTCAAAATTATACTAATTCAGAATATCGTCTCACAATTCGTTCAGTGCATACCTGCGTTGCGTTTGACAGGCATCTGTTTTTGAAAAAAAAACCACCTCTGTTGCGAAGTTCATCAGTGCGCGAAAACAGGAACAACATTTAATTAGAAAAGCCTTAGGGATTCTTTCGAAAGCATGACTTTAAAATTGTTTGCAAATGAACGCTGGTCGAGGTCAATAGCAAATAATCAAGTAGTTCTCTATTCGACATCTAGCAAACCTAATGATGGACAAGGACGAAGCATAGAAAAAAACAACAATGATCCGACTGGGTTCCGACGTCCACCTCTGCCAAGAAAATGTACGCGATGGCCTAGGATCGGAAGGCAGCTGACTGAGATCCGGTAGGTGTCGTTAATTCCTGATGATTTCAATGATTTACAAAGTGTGGGAGTGAAAAAGATAACGACAGCATTCTCTAAGGACGGTTTCGGTGCAGCGCTGAAGATGAAGAAGGCGCAGCGGGAAATGGAGGAAATTATAAGTCTATGCTGATTGATACAGATTAACCCGATTGGTTGAAATGCTGATAGCTGGCAAGAAGAGATAGCTCGACAAGGAAAACAGGACATAGCAACAATCACAACCCCAGCCCGATACGAAACAACCTGGTGGTAAGACCGACAAACCGAAATGAATGACCATACAAAGTATGATCAAATTTATGAACAAAGCACAAAACTGACATCAGCCGCCGTGTTCGCGAAAATTGTATATCCTAGCCACGAACACGCATACAAAATGTATGAGTTGGTTCGTGTCTAATATATTCCGGGCAAATTATTTTTATCTAGATAACAAATTTATATGATTTTGACAGATGGGATCGCTGCACATTTGAATCCGCCGTTATGGATTCTCGATCAAGAGTTAAGTTATAGTTTCATGTCGGTTTGTCGGTGGTGGTAAGTCTGGCCAGTCAAGCCAGCTGGAGCCCGGAATCGATCACAACCGCCACGAAATAAAATGCTACCCTGGACGCAACCACAACCCATTCGATGATTGCTACATGCTCGGTGAGATGATCACGATGGCGATGATAATTACAAGTACAATTATTGTAAGAAAAAAAATCAAAATAAATAGCTTTCGATATTTCTTCATACTTCGTTTCTCTATCCATTTATAATGAAAATAAAATTCTAGTTCTGACAGCAGCCTGAATACAAGCAAACCAAGTTTTAACTAAGATTGCATACTTGCAGAATATACATTATGACGTATAATCCATTTTTATACTTAGTGTGTATGCTCTGTCTTTATTTCAAGCTATGCGGCGGTCAGGAGTGTTGTGATTTAGTGTAATACATTTTTGCCAAAACATCAGCCTTATACATTCCATAAGACAAACCACATAGGTCCTATAAGAATGCATAAAAGGTATGTGTGACCGCTGACACATGATTTTCATTAACTTTTTGCAAGGCGTCTGCTTATTAGTTGGCTTATACATTTTATAAATAAAAAGCAATAGAAATTTGCCAAAAGGTATAAAGAGATTTCTATCCGTGTATGTATGAGTGCTCATTCCAAGACAGCCTATATTACATGATATAAACCATAGTCTGCCCGGGATATAACTTTTTATCTATTTAGATTTGAAAATCGTTTAAGTGTAAGTGATCGGGTTATACTATAGCAGACCCCCTTCACTCTTTGGATTTTTTAGAGACAGATAACAGCGCCAAACGGTTTGTGACGAGACAACGTTGAACTGCAGCGTTTGAAGAAAACAAGCACACCAACATCTATACATGTACGAACCCACACAACTGAGCGGACGGTACAGCGCAAATCAAAACACGAAGCGGTATCATCACTCATCGTCTTCATTCAGCTTCGGCTACTTCCGTTTGCGTTTGCTTTCAAAGCGTTGACAAATACTTCCTACGTTATAAAATAGGAAAGTAATGATTATTCCAATGTAATTTTTGAATAGAATGCGTGCTGGGTTGGCCAAAGAAGACGGCATATTTTATTACGTTTAGCAATGATTTCGATACGTTGCATTTCCAGTGACTAATAATTCTTTAGAGAGAGTGAATGCTTTTCCCTTGTTTACTTCTATCCCGCATAAACAATAACCATAAGAAGTGCTTAACCACCATTTCGGGATATCTTCCCAACTTTTTGTGATATGGTCGTTTCGTCTTATTGTTACATTGTTTTTTTTTATTGTATTTTTGTTGTTATTTTTTTCAGGTGGTTACGGTGGCTCTAAAGGCCCACGCACATTAGATCCGGATCGGACGCGTTGCGGAAAAGTGACAGCTAAATCTATTGTCTAACTGTCAAATTTACGTCTACGCAACGCAAACGGATCTAATGTGGGTGGCCCTTAAATGAGTTACTCAAAACAGTAGTGTTGGCGGAGTACTTATTTTTAAGTACTTTTTATCTCGATTTTGAGTTGTTTCGTCTTTCCGTGCAGTGACAGTTGAGAAACGTCAAATTTGATAGTCTTTTTCGCTATCGGTGTGCTTGTATGCGTGCGACCAGTGTGTTGTGTACTTGTGTAGCGATTTGTGTCAGATCGCACCACAGCAGAGCAGATTCATCAGTGTTCAGCAAAGTGAGATTAGTGGTACTGGTGGCTTAATATTAAGGCGACGACCGAGAGTTTGATCATCGCGTATAATTTTTCTCAAGGTTTTTTCCTCTGATTTTTCAATTGCAAAAGTGCAATTACTGGTGTGTACAGTGTCCGCGCGGGTCGTCGCATTTTCCTGGCGTTCTAGTTTTCCGCTGGAGGAGCAGTGAGTGAAGGTGGTGAGTCTTTTTCTCTACCCGGATTGTGGGTTTTCTTTGGAGAAGAAAAAAAAACGAAAAGCTGGGCAGCAGCCCCCACGGGAAAAAAAAAGAGACGTCTCGCCCGCTTGTCCCGATTGATGATTCATCATCATCATCATCATCGCGGTCGTCGTCGATTATGATCAATGAGCGGGTAGTGAAACATTAAAATTTTTGTTTTTGGAATATTGTGTCGGGACACGGGACCTTGACGGTGGGAGGTTGGCAAGTGTGAAGAATATTTTTTTCTCCGCGGAGGAAGTGGAACTATTACGTGTAATCGTTCAGATTTTATTTTTGCTATTGGCCTCCCACTGTGATAGAGAGAAAAATCACTGTATGTAGGCAGCTCGGCGAAATGAATATTCTAATCGAATGCGTGCGTGTGTGTTTTTCTTGTGTTGTCATTTTAGATCAAGAGGAGCCGAATTTGTTTTGGGTGTAGTCTCGTGGATAAAGGAAAACGAAAGTCGAAGGAATTGAGCGAAAATGCAGGCCATCAAGTGCGTCGTGGTTGGGGACGGTGCCGTCGGTAAGACCTGTCTTCTGATCAGCTACACTACCAATGCCTTCCCGGGAGAATACATTCCGACTGTGTTCGACAACTATTCCGCCAACGTTATGGTCGATGGCAAACCAATCAACCTGGGTCTGTGGGATACGGCCGGTCAGGAGGATTACGATCGTCTCCGACCATTGTCTTATCCACAGACAGACGTGTTTCTCATATGCTTCTCACTGGTCAATCCGGCGTCGTTCGAGAACGTCAGAGCCAAGTGGTACCCGGAGGTACGCCACCACTGTCCGAACATACCGATAATCCTGGTCGGGACCAAGCTCGATCTCCGAGATGACAAAAACACCGTCGATAAGCTACGTGATAAGAAGCTATCGCCGATCACCTACCCACAGGGACTGGCCATGGCCAAGGAGATTGGCGCCGTCAAGTATTTGGAATGCTCGGCACTCACCCAGAAGGGCCTGAAAACCGTGTTCGACGAAGCGATCCGAGCCGTCCTCTGCCCCATCATACCGGTGAAAAACAAACGTAAATGTTCCATTCTGTAAATTGCATGTCCCCCCACCATCCATCCCCGGTTCGAAATCTTCCTCCATCAGAAAAGCAAAAAAAAAAAAAATTGTGGTAGTAACAACCAGCAAAAGCGAACATCCCCCAGAACCCGTGTAGCCATCAGGAATCGTCCTCCTCCTTTTCCTTCAATCATTCAAACGAAAGAAAGAAAAGTTAAAACAGCAGACGGCATTTCTTCGCATTTGTGTGTTTTGTAATTGTGCATCAGAAATCAAAGTCGAAAAAGCAAAACTAAAAAAAAAAATTAGGAAACATTACAGTGTAGAGTTACAATTGTAAAGAAAACAGTAAACTCAACAACAACAACAAAAAGGGAAAGCCAAACTAAATGGAGGAAGGTGGACAGCAGCTGGACCCAAACAACAAGCAACAACTACAACACCCATTAAATAGCAAGACACGAGACCGATGATCGGAGAGATATTTGTATCACGCAGAGCCACGCGGGACGGGGGAAACCGAAAGAGAGAGAGAGAGCAAGAGACGGACGGACGGACGAAACGAGGTTGATTAAATGGAAAGGTAAACTTTTGCTTCTTATTTTGTTTTTATAATAAGGAAACTTTTTCGTTTTACAACACTATCCAAGCCAAAGCATAGTGTCTGATGGGCGCGATTTAATTAGTGTTTAATTGATGTGGAATTGGATTTACGTTCGGGGTACGGTTTCAGTTGTAGTGAGAGGCAGCCGGCTACACGGAATCATTCATTTAGTCACTGGTCAGTACCAGCTGGAGTCGGTTGTCGTCGCGTGTATCGTTCGTTCGAATAGAAGGATGATTTGCAAATGTTATCTAATCGCCGTCACGGAATGATTGATTTGCCGCAATTGCCATTCTCCTATGAATGCGTATGGTTGGCTACTATCTGCAGAATCCTATAATCAGAACTAGCAATCGTTCAATGGCTCTGGAGAAAGTATATACAATTGCTTGGTATCGGGAAAGGGGGGCAATTTTCTTCGGAAGATCGATGGAATTTTTACTGAAAGTTCATATGAGCTGTAGGGTAAGAACGGAAGATCTTTTGGTTAATTGCAATGAACTTTCTGAGCAAGCTCTGAGGAGTAATTTATAGACAGGCCTGGGGAAAATGCTGAGGGGGAGGACACGTCTCCAGTATCTTTGCTTGCTAAACTCTGTTTAATATGGTTTCTTAAGCTTAAAACGAATCTTACTCAGACGGCGAGTCACTTTTATTAATTCGTATGGATAAATATTTTTTTTTTTAATTCTTTATTTAAGAGATTTTTAGCCTTAGGCTAGTTCATCTCTAGCGTATGGATAAATGTCTAAAAGCATAGGTTACTCATGCTCTGACCTACTTACTTACTTAACGATCCTGCGCACCTACAGGCGTGCAAAGGGCCTTTGCGCAAGATTTCCATCCTGGGCGATTACTAGCTTTGGCCTTGACCTGTGCCCAAGTCAAATTTCGGTCAACGTTCTTAATTTCACTGTTTAGGCTCCGCCGCCACGAGCCTCTGGGTCTGGCTCTACTGCGATGTCCTGCTGGATTTCAGTCCAGCGCTTGCTTGGTGCCGACCCACCTCCACTTCCGTTCACGAATTTCTTTCTCTATCGGCTTCTGATGGCACAAACGATGAAGCTTGGAATTTGAGATCCAATTGTAGGGCCACCAGGCACGAATTGTGTACCGCAGGCATCGGTTGATAAACACCTGCAGCTTCTGAGTGTTCTCCGCAGATACACACCATGTTTCACTGGCGTATAACAGCACAGACTTCACGTTCGAGTTGAAAATTCGGATTTTTGGTGCGTCGACTGATCTGATTTGCTCTCCATACATTTCGCAAACTGGCAAAAGCAGCCCTCGCCTTCTTAATCCGTGCACCTATGTCGCTCTTGGTGCTGCCATCCGACGCTATCTGGCTGCCAAGACATTGGAAGCTGCCTGCCCAGGTACCGTAAAATTGGAACGGTTTTCCGTGTTGACATCCAACGATTTGGTCTTGTTGACGTTGATGGTTAGACCTGCTAATAACGCAACATCAGCCAAATCGAAGTCGTTGAGATGCTCCATGGCAATAGGCTGCCACAGCAACCCACGGTTCGGTACACGGTCAACGGCTCCAACGTTGATCTCGTCGATTAGGATGAGGAACAGTAGCGGGGATAATATACATCCTTGCCTCACACCCGCGATTACCCGAATCGGGTCAGACAAAGCTCCGTTGTGCAACACTCTGCATGAGAAAGCCTCGTACTGCGCTTCGATGAGGTTGACGATCTTATCAGGGACTCCCTTGCGTCTCAGAGCGCCCCACAAGTTTTCGTGATTTAGTCGGTCGAAAGCTTTTTCGTAGTCAATGAATACCAGAGACTCTTGGAAGAGTCGCGGAGAGTCGCGTCGATCTTCTCCTATGTCCGATTGAGGATAACTTTACACAGAACTTTGAGAACAATACACAGTAACATGATGCCTCGCCAGTTGTCGCATACAGTTGGATCCCCCTTCTTGGGGACTTTTACCAAAACGCCCTGCATCCAGTCGGCCGGAAAAGTCGCGGTGTCGCAGATATTGACGAATAGTTGATGCAACATTTGTGAGGATAACACGGGGTCAGCTTTGAGCATCTCTGCTGATATGCGATCGACCCCCGGGGCTTTGTTGGACTTCATACTTCGGATGGCTGCTTCTATCTTCTGCAATGATGGAGCTTCAGTGTTGACGCGAGTAACGCGCCTCACCCTTGGCGGATCATGTCGAGTTGTTGATGGTTGGTTGACCGTTGAAACTTCGAGAAGTTGTTTTTTTTCCTTTGGTTTGTTTTTTCCGTCGATCTTGTTTTCCGTGCTGAGCACCAATGCTACCGACGTGCCAGGAAGGCAGCTCCCACACCTGGACCCTACCTATCGACCCATCAACTCATGAACCGGGGACCAACGGCTTTACTTCCCATCCGAAGGAAGGCGTGATCAGAGATGTTATGCCTCAGAACATCCCGGCGGCGCCGACTGGGAGAGAAGTTGTTCAAAGTGCTCAAACCAACGTTTCAACTGGTCAGTGGGGTCGGTGAGCAACTGTTCAGTCGCGTCTTTCACATGCATCCTTGGGTTCATCCTTGCCCCGCTCAGGCGTCGTGAAACATCATAGAGGAGGCGGATATCGCCAGTTGCTGCGGCTTTCTCCCCTTCATCAGTCAGGGAGTCCACCCACGCTCGCTTGTCCCTTATACAGGAACGCTTAACTTCCCTCTCTAGAGCCGAATACCTTTTGTTTCTCTCCGTTCCTCGATCTTCCTCCAGGTTTCATCGGTGATCCACTCCTTCCTCTGAGTGCGCAGCTCACCCAGGTTGTTCTCGCTTGTTTCAATAAAGGCATTCTTGATGCTCGTCCACTGTTCTTCTACGCTGCCACCTTCCGGAATATTAGCTGCGCGAGCCTCGAGTTCTTCGACGAAAAATCTCTTCACTGCTGGGTGTTGAATCGCCGCCCGAATCTCTCCTTCCGCCGTTGAACCCGCGCAATGCGTAGGCGGATCTGCGTTTATTCCGAATATCAAAAAGGCTCCGTCTCCATTTTCGGCTGATGCAGATGTGGTCGATTTGGTTCTTTGTATATCCATCACAGAAGACCCATGTGACTTTATGCACTGGCCGATGGGGGAAGAGCGAACCCCCGATCACCGTGTCGTTGTTGCCACAATACTCTGCAAGTAGCTCGCCGTTCTCGCTCATATCTCCGAAACCATGGCGTCCCATAATGCGCTCATAGTCCGAGTTGTCGGAGCCGATCTTCGCATTGAAGTCGCCTGTGTAGATCTTGATATCACTTCTTGGAGTCTTATCCACGACAGCATTCAGTTGACTGTAAAAGTTCTCTTTGTCCTGCAATTCGGCAGCATCGGTTGGCGCATAACATTGGATTATGGTAAGGTTTCGGACCCGTGTTTTGAATCTGGCAACGATTATTCTCTCATTGATAGCTTCCCACTTGATGAGCGCAGCCTGCAACGGGAAACTTTCCCCAACCCAAAGATAGTGTTAGTTTGCGTAGGCGAGTCTTGAATCACGAGAATACGGTTTCCGAAGTTTTGTTCGCAATAGCTGATGTGCTCTTTTCTGTTGTTGGTCGTGATTTGCTCGATTGGTTGCGCTATTTGACAGCTCAATTGGTTCCCGAGAATCTATCCGCCAGACTATGAATATGGGGGTTATTCCGAGAGTCGCAGTGACTTTTGTCACCAGTGAAGTGAGGAAAGTCACGTCGTGGTGACGTGACTCTCCATTTGATTTGCACAGAGAGTCACGTCACCACGACGTGACTTTTCTCACTTCACTAGTGACAAAAGTCACTTCGACTCTCGGAATAACCCCCATAGCGACTATGGACCTTTTTGACGTTAAATCGTCTTTCTCTATCTAGCACACATGGATGAAAGGACGGTTTGTTTTCCCACTAATCTGTTTCCCTCTTGCTCGCACTCGTTCGATCTAAATGGTGCAGTAGTGTGCGCCGATTAAACGTCAAAAAGCTCTATAGAAGAAACATCTTCCGACTCCCAACAACACACATGAAACACAATAAGCACATACACACAAGGTGGTAGAGTGACTTACCCCCCTGGAATTTCCATTACCTGATGGAACTGAAGAAATTTTGAAATAGTTAGAATTACCATGACCTCATGGATGGTAGATAGAATTACCATGACCTGATGGATAGTAAATAAGAATTGCCATTATGAATGAAGAAATTTTGTAAAATGATTACCATGACCTGATGGATGGTAGAGTATGCAAACAAAATTGTTAGAATTACCTGGTGGATGGTAAATAATAATTGCCATGACCTAATGGTAGATAAAAATTTCCATTACCTGATGGATGGACTGAGGAAATTTATAAATAGTTAGAATTGCCGTGACCTGATGGTTGAAATTCCCCGAATAAGTTGATATAATAATGCCCCCTTCCTCAATTAAGGAGAATAGGAGACGGAAGAATGTAGTAGTTATTGTGGAATAAAGAATGAGCAGAATCGAGTGAGCGTGAAGCGTGATAAGGGCCCAACAAAGTCACTTTCAATCGTAATCGTCAATAATCACTTTCAATTGAAAGTCATTCTGTCTTCTCTTCGAGCAGATGCTCTTCAACATCAACAGAACCACTTTCGATCAGTTTTCATGCTGTTTGTATAGCCTTGACTAGTGTTCATTTCGTCTTTCATTGTCAAATGAACTTACTTGCGCAATCTAGAGTCGGTGTATAATGAGTCACGTCAAGAGAAAAATAGTTTAACTCGCATCACGGTTTTCGAAAGATTCCCTTTCTTTTCACTTGGCAACAGAGGACTTCTACATCAACTTCAAATGACTTCTAGCCATAAATAAAAATAGCGGCTGTAGTAAATCATTATATCAGTGATTTTGTTTAATTATCTTAACAAAAAATAGTAGAAATTCTCATTACTGGTCATTACTAAACGTATCCCATGACAAGTTAATGCTCACTGCGTATTTATGACCATTTCATCGATTATATTTTATATTTTATTGC